ATCCACCCTGCGATCCAGAAGATCATGGACTCTTGCAAAAGCATGGACTTCGTGAAGTAGCCCAGGCAGCCCCAGCGCGTTTGCAGTCACACTTGGCCCAGTCTGGGCTGCCAGGAGCTTCGCTGCGTCGGCCGCGCGCAAGTTGCGGCCCGACGGCAGGTTTGACAGCCTGCTTTTGCAGGCACGAGCGTTGCACGCAGCCTGGGCGAGCTGAGGCAGCCCCAGTGGGTGATCTGGAGCCCGCGACCTCAGCGTCAGATGCACGCACGCACGCACTGCATTACATTATAAACTGGGGGCGGGGTAAACACGATGAGGAGGACGCGGGCAAGGATGACAATGCGGATCAGCAGGGGTTGGATGCTACGGGGGTGGCAGTGCCAATGCGAGTGCCATGATGAGTGGGGGTTGGGGGGGCTTCGGAGGAGGGCGGGGGCGGAGGACGGGGCCGATTGAGGAGATGAGGTCGGGGTCGCGCACCAAACTCGCGATCGCTCCAGGTTGCCACTCGCGCTGCCCGTGTAGAAGCAGAGGCCTGCAGGAGTGCGTTCGACATGGGACTTGGCAGGGGAGTATGCCAAGGTTGCGGCATGCAAGAAAATCAGAGGGCCGCGCGTCGTGGCAACATCCCTCCACGTTGCGTCGGGCCCCCAGTGCCGCCCCTGTGAGATCGAGGCGCCGTCTGCGCCTTCTTGAGTTGGTGGTGATATGGGTAGCCTTCGGCCAACCCCGCCGCCGTGTCTGGGCTGGGGCCCGTGGGCCTCGTTGGGTGTATATGTGGTCCTGCAGGGTGCCTCTCGGGGGGCTCTTGGGTAGCATTTCAAGGCTTCCGAAAGGGCCTCTCAGGTGCCACTTCGGGGCTTCTGGCGTGCTTCTTAGGGGCCCATTGGGGCGCGTCTGGGGGCGCTCTGGGGGCTTCTAGGGTGCGTTTGGGGCTGCGGTATAGAGACGGCCTTAGGCGTAATTCGCGTTCCTTCTCTCGGCCCCCATCCTGGGCTCCTCGTGGGGTGCCGCCTGGCTCGCGCGGGGGCTCTTGGGCCGTCGTGTCGCTTTCTTTTGATGCGCTAGGGCCCCCAATGGTGGCCTCTCGGGCTGTCATTGGGCGCCGTCGATAGCTCGTCGGATCGCTTTGGGAAGTTGGCAACCGAACAGGGCGATAACGTTCGCAGCCTGTGGGCTCCCAGAGGGGGTCAGCTATTTTCGTTGCGTGGAGCTCCCTTGGGCCCTCTCGGTGCCTCCAGTGCTCCTCCAGGGGGACGTGGATTCTTGGGTCGGCTCATGCCCCTTGAGGCGCTTATAGGGTCATCTTGGGCAATCTTGGACGCCGTTTGGGCCCTCCTTGGCGCTCCCTTGTGAATTCGTGGCTCATCAAAGGGGCCCGTCGGGTGGAGGGGGAGCCGCCACCCTTTGCTGTTGAGCATTTCCGCATCCAGATCCCACCTCTGGTCCGCCTCTTCATCGTATTGCAGCTTCCGTTCTGATGTGCGCGTGCCCCCCCCGACTGCCCTCGCTGCCGCCCGCGCCTCCCTCTTGCCCGACCCCCTTCCCGCATGTCTCCCTATCTCTTGCTAGTCCCTCGCCCCCCTGCACTTCGGCCGTGGCCAGTTTGGCTCAAGCCCACAAGATGCGCGACTGCGCAACGGTGGCCACTCGCGGCACCGCGTGCAGTGTCGTGCCGCCGTCCGTCCGTCGGGGTTGTCTTCGGGCGCTCTTGCGGCGCGCCAGCGTAGCGCTGGCCCGCCGCGGCGCGCGGCGGGGGCCCCGTTCCCCGATCGGTTTCCGCATGCTGTTTTTCAAGGCGTGCGTTTGTAGCGCAGGTTGTCTCGCGTTGCGCCTGTCTTTCGGGGGCGTTTCGCACGGCTGGGGCGGTGGCGCCTTTGGTGGGCGCACGCGTTGCGCGATTCGGCCCGCCGTCGGGCAGCCCCGCCTGGCCAGTCGCGCGGCCGCGTCGGCCTGCGCGCTTGGGCCAGGGCAGCGCTGGTGGCCAGGCAACGCCTCGGCCCCTGGCCCGCGGGCTGCTCGAGCTGCAGCGGTCGGCGAGAGCCGCCCTCAGGTTATATCTCGCGGCCCTCGGGGTCACTGCTGGCCGCGGGACCCTGCGTGCACGCGCGCGCCCTCGCAATGTGACGCGGCTTCCCGCTAGTGTTCCACCCCGCCCAGGCACCCCAGGCGGGGCCATGTTGCCCCGCGGGAGAAATTGGTTCGTATGTCGTTTGACAATGTTTGGCGGGGGGGACAAATCTCGCCGAAATCCAAAAGACAATGGGTGTCGTGGGGACAAATGAAATCGTAGTTGAAAAAGACAATTTTGGGCTATTTTCCATGAATCCTCAAAAAGGCCCTTAAAGGGGGCCCCGAACATCTGAAGCGAACGGCACTGATACGGGCTGCCGTCTTCGGGCGCGCCGGCGAGGTGCAGACGCCGCTCGAGAGGAGAGCGGGCGTCAATGTCAGCGACAAAGGTGGGCCCACAGCGCTGGCGATGGCCGCAAGCTGGGCCGACCCACAACTTGCGAAGCTGATGGATAAGGCGCGCGCGCAAAAATCGATGTCGATTCGAGGGACGGCGAGGGATCAACGCCGTGGACGGTTGCGGCACGCAACGGAAACAAGAAGGTTGTCGATTTGCTGCTCGACTGGGGCGTCGACATCAATGCCAGCTATCAGGAAGGGGATACTCCAAAGGAGTCCGCCGAGCTTGCAGGCCACCTCGTCGTGGAGAATATCTGGGATTATTCCCGTGAAGTAGTCCGCCGAGCTTGGAGGCCACCTCGCCGTAGCAACGTATCTGGAAGACGCAAGTGGCAGGTAAAGATGAGGCGAGACAGTGCAGGTCATGAGACACAGCGCCGGCACAACACACCCACGCTCGAATCCGCTAGTTGAGCATACCCCTGTGCTTAATTGCTGGTATCAGGTGTCCAGGCCACATACTGGCCTTTCGGATTTTCCCGTGACTGCTTTTTTGTCAGTGCCGCCGATTAAATGCACGAGTCGCGCGCTTGGGATAAGAAAACCATACGCACACGTGCGTGAGGATGTGCATACTTGATGCTCATTTCGCCCGTGATGAATGCCAAATGAGCGCCTTGGGGGTCCAGGGGGTTCAACTGGTTCGCACTTTCCACGGAGCCGTGTTGTATCACTGTTGCCATTTGCTTGGGCGTTTGTGGCGATTGGAGAGTTCGTGTGAAGGTTTCGATAATCTCCAGAACTTGTGTTAGCCCAATATGTGTTACTCCCGTCCAGCTTTGCCGATGGTGCGCAGCCTACGTCGACCTTCATTACACTGCCTGCGCCGCACTGGAGGGCTTCGGTTGACAAGCGCACGTTGGAGGTAACACGCGTCCTGAGGATAATCGACGCCTGCGTGGGAGAGAAGCAGCTGCTAGGCAGATTGAGGGCAACCGTGATGGGGACAATGCTGTTGGTCGTGGCGCCAGCGAGCGCACGGCGCGGTCGGAGCCTCACGCTGCACGGAACACGTCCACATCGAATCCGGAAAACACGGGAAGGCAGTAGTAGTGTAAAGCGTAGAATTGGAGATCATGAGAACTTTCCGTTGGGCCTCTCTGGTCTCCCCTGTGGGCCTCTTCAGGGCTGTTTTGGACCATCTGGGGCCGCCGTGTGCTATCCTGTGGCCTCTTCGGGGGGCGTTTTGGAGCCATCGTGGGGCCAGCCGCGCATTGGTATCATTGAAATATTTGAGGTCTTTGAAGGAGTTGGGCATCTTGGATCGGCCTTGTTGTGGTTTTGATGCCTTTCGGAAGCATGCTGAATGATGTTTGGTAGCCTGGAAACCTAGGTGGCCATGTGGGACGCGTCCTGAATGCCTCGTTGGTAATTGTGGCGGCCACTTGGCAATTTTTTAGGCCGCTCACGGGGGTCCTGGCATCTCTAACGGGACTTGCCTGGGGTGTTTCTCCTGGGGGGACCCCAAGGAACCGCAACGCGCGCGCAGTGAGAATTTCGCATTCGTAGAGCTATGGGGACCTCGTACCACAAATTGTTGGTGTGCTGCTGGCACCTTGGGCCAGCGAATCTTTATGCTTCGCTGGGTGTTGCGCTCCGATTGACCATGCGAACGCGGGAGGCCAGCGCCTTTGACGCAAAGTGTCGTCGCATTACTCATCGTGCCGGGGTATGTCACGATTCTCGTGCTGGCATGGCGCCGTTCTATGCCAGAGTGGACAGGGATGGCACGACCAAGGTTTACAGTCCGCCTCCGCTGCCGCCTCGCTCGTTCTTCTTCTTCTTCTTCTTCTTCTTCGCTTCTCCCTCCTCCCTCATGTCTGCCTCCTCATGCTGTCTCCTCCATCCTCCTCCTTCTTCCATCTCTCCTTTCTCCTCGTTCTCCCCCTCCTTTGTTCTTTCTCCCTCGTCTTCCCACCTTCTGGCCCCTCACTTCCTCTCCTCCTCTGGGGCGCCTTCCAGTTGTCGTGGCACTGCTCGCCAATGGCCAGCGCAGGGGCTCTGAGACCAGCTCGATGGCTCGGCTCCTCAGCGGTTCTTAATGTCCTCAGCGAGTCTGGCTCCGATTCAAGTTCTCCTTCGCCGCGTGGACCTCTCTTGCGGGGTTCTCTGCCTGCCAGATCTCGGGGTACTCCAGCCGCGGCGGCAAGTGCGCTCCAGAACGCCAACAATGGGGGAAAACCATCAAAGTCATCCCTCCTCCCTCCTCCCCTGTTGCCCCTTCCCCCAGGGAGTCTCAGTCTTAACCTGGACTGAGGCGCCGCGGAGGGCTGACCCCCTTTTTCGTGCTGGCCTACGTGGCCTCCTCGGGGCCCGTAGTCCCTGAGAGAGCTCACCCGACGAGGGCCACTGCCAGATGCAGAGTTTTCACGCAGAGTGCCGCCGCCGCCGTCCCTTCCTTCTTTGGGAGGTTCCCGAAGGTCTCCAGAGCGGAGGTCCCTGGAGCTCTTTCGAGGTCCTGGGGTTCTCTGGAGGCCAAACATGTTCAGAACGATCAAGACTCCCTTGCCTCCTCCTCCCCCCTGCAGGGCCACCCCAGCACGGGCGGCGCCAGCGGCGATCCCCACGCCGCCGCCGACGACCACGCCTGCGCCCTCCGATGCGGAGGCGCTTGCTATTGCTCTTCGGAGCGAGGAAGGGGAGGAGGACGATGAGGAGGAGGAGGGGGAGAAGGAGGAGGAGGAGTTGGAGCACGATCAGGTGGCTGAGGGGAGATGGAGGTCTCTGGTCGTTTTTGGGTCCTGTCTGGGCCTCTGGGCTCCTCCATGGGCTCCAGGAGGCCCCTGGCTGATGTCCTCCGCACGGGGGCCTTCGTGGGCATATCTGGAGGACCAAGACGTCGGGAGGAGAAGATCGGCAAGGAATCATTGCATGACGAGGCTGAGGAGGAGGAGGAGGAGGAGGAGGAGGAGGAGGAAGGGGCGTCAACGACGAGATTGAGGATCAGGACCGCGAGGAGCAGCAGCTGAGCAGCATGAAGGGCTGGAGGAGGCGGAGGAGGGCGAGGTGACGAGGACGACGGCGCCGCCATGGCTGTGGACGGTGATGACGCGAACGACGACTACGACGAGGCCCGCAACGAGGACCACGACGACAGCATCCTCAAAATGAAGATCGACCCTAGACATGTGCCCCAGCGCATTCTGACACAGATTTCGAGGCGCATTCCTTCGTGGCGACCAGGGCCCGCAAAACAGGCCAGAATAGAACAAGAGCACGTGGCGACGAGGCCACGTGGCGGCGTGACAACAACACTCATTAGCGAATGCAGACGTGGCAGTGAGGTATCCGCAACCAAAAGGCGAAGACGACGACGATGACGACGAGGGTTATCGTGACGACAGCGGCGACGACGACGGCTGACGGTGACGACGACGACGACGACAGACGACGACCGACGACGACCGACAACGACGACGACGACCGTCGTCCTCGCGGGGTTCCTGATGGCCACAAGGGATCCGGAGGCCCCGAGGACGCCTTGGAGGCTCCTTGGGCACCCTCCCCCGAAGAGCGCCGAGAGCGCCTCAAGGCCTCAGAGCAGCGGCGGCGGCGGCGGTGACGGCAGTGGCGCCAGCGGCGGCGGCGGCCGCGCGAGCGCGCGTGAGGCCGCGTGGGACTGTTCGCTGCGGCCGCAGGACGACGGCGGCGACCTCGCCAGGCGGCCTTACCCGCCGCGCCCGCCTGCGGCGGCGCCGTCGGCGGCAGCGGCGCTCGACGGCGTCGTCGGCGCCGTTGGCGGAGGCGGCGGCTTCGGCGCGGCCCTCGACGGCGCCGTCGTCGGCGTCTTTGTCGTGGTGGTCGTGGTGGACGGCGTCGTCCGTGGCGGCGCCGTCGTCAATCGTCATCGATCGTCGGCGTTGCCGGTCCTATCTCTTGTCGTTCGCGGCGCGTCCGCTGGCCTCGGCCCGCGGCGTCGGCGGCGAGAAGTGCGGCGGCGACGGCGGCGGCGAGGTCGGTGCGGCGGCAGCGGCGGAGAATACGGGTGCTGAGCTGTGGACGGTTCTAGGAGGCCACAGTCAGAGTCTCTTGGCCACCGGCATGCCATCTCGCAGCAGGGGGGATGGCCAAACCACGCCCGACCGCTCCACCCCGAGAAGGGACCGGAAGGGCCCAGAGCTCGACGAAACCTCCCTTGCGGCGGTTGCCGCGCCCTTGCTGGCCCGCTCCGAGCGGCCCAGAGTGGTCGGCGTTTTGGCTCGGGGTCAAACGCGGCAGAATGGTAAGACAAATCACGCATATCATGGCAGGTTGCAGGGCAGCTGCGCCCGTCTGGGAACTTTCTTCGGATCGTGGGATGGCCCGAGCAAAACCCTCTGGCTTATGCCGCCCTAAGGGCTGAGTGGGAGAGTGAGGAGGTTGATCAGCAGTGTAGAGGACGGTGGGGGGGTGGGAGTGGGTGGGGGAGGGGGTGGGGGAGGAGAGGGAGGAGAAGGCGGAGCAGCAAGGGCTCAAGGTGGATTATGATGAATGAGGAGGAGAGGGGAGGGGGGAAAAGGAGATGAAGCCAAGAAGAGAGGGAGGAGCACACATATAATGAAGCTCCGAATGAGCTGAAGGGGAAACGACAGGTCGTGGAATTCAACGAACAGGATGGGGACATGAAAGATAGTTACGATGAGTAGTGATGAGGAGGACGAGGAGGAGATGGATGAGGAGGTAGGACGATGATGATAATGATGATCATGATGATGCTTATGCTGCTGAGGATGATGCCGATCATGATGATGTTGAGAATGACTTATGACGATGACGATGACGATGATGATGATGGTGATGTTGATGGTGATGATGATGATGATGGTGATTATGATGATGGGGATCATGATGACGACATTGATGATGAGTGTGATGATGGTGGTGATGGTGATATTGATGATGATGCTGATGATGATGATGGGGATCATGATGATGGTGATGGTGATGCAGATAATGCTGTTGATGATGATGATGGCGTTGCTGCTGCTGATGATGGTGATGATGACATTGATACTGATGCTGATGATGCTGATGATGTTGATACTGGTGCTTCTGCTGGCGAAGATGGTGATGATGATGCTGATGATGATGATGATGGCGATGATATTGCTGATGATGATGAACATGACGATAATGCGGCTGCTGCTTTTGCGGATGATGGTGATGCTCATGATGAAGTTGATGATGATGGTGACAATGAGGATGATGATACTGATGATTATGATGATGCTGGTGGTGACGATGACGGTGTTGATGGTGTTGATGCTGATGCTGATGATGCAACGTTTGATGATGAGGATGATGATGCTACTGCTGATGATGGTGATATGCTGCTGATGATGATGATGGTGGTGGTTGTGATGATGGTGGTGGTGATGATGATGCTGTTGATGATGCTGATGATTATGATTCTGATTATGATGGTGGTGGTGATGCTGATGAGGATGCTGATGCTGCTGAGGATGCTGATGATGCTGATGCTGCTGATGCTGCTAATTTTGATGATGCTGATGATGATTATGACGGTGATGATGATGGTGATGATGCTGATGATGGTGATGCTGATGATAGTGATGATGATGCTGATGATGCTGGTGGTGATGCTACCGATGCTGATGATGCTGGTGATGCTTATGACGATGATGATGATAATGGTGATGATGATGCTGATGATGATGATACTGATGCTGATGATGTTGATGATGCTGATTGTGCTGATGAAGCCGATGCTGATACTGCTGATGGTCATGATGATGCTACTGATGATGATCATGCTGATGATTATGATAGTGATGAAGATGTTGATGATGACCATGCTGACGAGGATGATGAAGCTGACGCTGACGCTGATGATGATGATGAGGATGATGATGATACTGATGCTGATGATGGAAGCCAGTATGAGGATGATGGTTATGGTGTTGGTGATGATGATCATGATGAAGGTGATGATGATGAGGATGATGATTACAATGCTGATTATGATTATGATGATGATGATGATGATGATTATGATTATGATGATGATGATGATGATGATGATGATGATGATGATGCTAATGTTGTTGCTGATGATGAGGATGATGATGATGATGATGATGAGGATGATGATGCTGATGCTGACGCTGATGATAACGATTTTGACGACAACGAGGAGGGGGACGAGGAGGAGGACGACGAGGACGAGGACGAGGAAATGGAGGAGGAGGAGGGAGGAGGAGTAGGAGAAGGAGAAGGAGAATGAGGAGGAGAGGGAGGAGGACAGGGAGGAGGAGAATGAGGAGGAGGAGAAGCAATAAAAGTTTGAATACCAATAGTACGAACACTCATTACAACAATAATACGAACCATATTTCTATTATTACTAATACTAACAGAATACATTTTAACACTAAGAATACTACTAAGCATAATAAGAATAAGACGAATCATAATAAACATGCTACTGCTAAGAAGAGGAGGAGGAGCAGGAGGAGAAGGAGGAGGGGGAGGGGGAGGAGGAGGAGGAGGAGGAGGAGGAGGAGGAGGAGGAGGAGGAGGCGGAGGAGGGGGAGGAGGAGGAGGAGGGAGGAGGAGGAGGAGGAGGAGGAGGAGGAGGAGGAGGAGTAGGAGGAGGAGGAGGAGGAGGAGGTGGAGGTGGAAGTGGAGGAAGGAAGAGCAGGAGGAGGAGGAAGAGGAGGTGGAGGAGGAGGAGGAGGAAAGGGAGGAGGAGGATTTCTAGGAGGAAGAGGAGGAGAATGAGGAGGAGGAGGAGGCGGCGGCGGAGGTTTTGTTTTTTTGGTCGGTCGGTTGGTTGCCTGCTGGCGTGCTTGCTTCTTGCTTGCTTGGTGGGTTGCTTGGTTGGTTGGTGGAGGAGGAAGCGGAGGACACTCAAGACAAGGACATGGAAGATGAGAGGAGGAGGAGGAGGGGTTGGCTGGCTGGCTGGCTGGCTGGCTGGTTTGTTTGTTTGTTGGTTGCTCTCTTGGTTGGTTGGTTGGTTGGTTGGTTGCTTGGTTGGTTGGTTGGTTGGTTGGTTGGAGGAGGAGGAGGAGGAAGTGGAGGACACGGATGAGGAGGACAATGAATCGGATGGGGAAGATCCGGAAGAGGGCTACTTATGTTGAGGAGTTGAAGAGCAGGCGAAGGCGACGGCGACGGGATGAACCTGCCGCGCCGCACATCGCGCGTGCGAGGATCGTGGTCGGCTGCGAGCCTCTCATGGGGCAGGTGCTCGCCTTCCTGGCGGCCTCGCCCCAGGAGCCTGGCCCCTCCTGGGCGCCAGCCGCCGCCGTCGTGTGTGCCAGGGTCTCGCCCGGTGCCTGGCTGCTGGGCGCCCGCCGGCGCCCTGCGTGCGCCTCACGTTTCGCACGGTGCCCGCGCGCGGGTGCCCGGTCAGGTGGGTGCGCCAAGGATTCGCCTGGTGGCCGCCCGTGGGCGCCCCGTGGCGCCTCGTGCGCGGGGTGGGTGTGCCAGGGTTTCGCCTGGTCCCCAGCGGTGGCCGCCCGTGGGCGCCTCGTGGGCGCCTCGTGCGCTGCGTGGGCGTGCCGGCGTTCCGCCTGGTGGCCGCCCGTGGGTTCCTCGTGGCCACCTCGTGCGCTGGGCGGGTGTGTCGACGTGTTGCCTGGTGCCCGCCCGTGCCCGCCACTGCGGGCGCCTCGGGTGCGCGGCGGGCAGACGCAGCGCGGCGCGAGCCAGGGGCCCGGCAGGGAAGGCGCCGACATGGCAGTCTGCCGCGGACACCGAGGAAACGAGAGGGCGCTGGTCAGTTGAGCGGAAGATCGGGACAAATCGGAACCAGAGATTCTGGGAGAGTTCCAAAGAAAAATAGAACGCCGAATTGTGGATCGCAGCGCGCGCATTCGCAGAAGTTCCCCAAGGACTTTTCGAGGGCTTGAGGAGCCCAAGTAACGCATGGGCGCTCAGTTAAACTGTTGAGGGCGGGCCGAAAAGCTGGTGTGCACGAGCATTGGGAGCGGCTGCGCGGCTTGCACGGGGGGCGCAGTAGGTTTGCGTTTCAGGGGCTTGGGCGCTGGCCGATGCGTTGATGGGGGGCCCGAGCGTGCGTCACACATATTACGCCTGTGGCGCCATGGAGGCCGCGTGTGCGGTTGCAGTGGGGCGGGCGCCCCGCCGCGCGCACCGTCGCGACAGCTCTCTTGGGCGCCCGCCCGCCGCCGTGGACGTAGTGGGCCCAGCTAGTTTCGCGGTCGGCGCGCGGCGGGTCGGCGGCCGCGACGCTGGCGGCCTGAAAATGCTTCGAACGTGTTTCTCCCCGAGCCCGGGGCTATTGCACGTTTTCGGTGGCACGCGCAGCTCGGGAAAGAATCGCCTTGTCTGTCGGCGGCCAGTTGGTTGTCGTCGCGCAGAAGTGCTGGCGGATGGCGCGGTCCACGCTCAGCGCAGAGAGCGTGTCCATGAGCGTGGACTCGTCGAGGGGCAGGAGGAAGGACCTCGTGGTCGGGACCATCGCGGCCTGCGATGTCCACGGCCCCCACCCTCTGCGCGTGAGGACCTGATGGGCGCCGCCGCAGGCCGATTTCAGATAATCTCGGAACGGGAAATCCGGGCGCGCCAAATTTCGCGGGCCGAAAAACTCTCAGAGAGTTTCGGCCAGCTCCGAGGTTTTGGGTTTATGGGAATGTTTCACGCGGGGTGTCTAGTTCAGAGATTTTCAGAGATTCTCAGAGAAGTTCGGACGCGAGAATTTGGCGCGCCCCGTTTTCTGGTTCTGTGAATCTCTGAAAAGCGGTTCCTCAGGTTTTACCGGATCTCCAGGCGTCCCACTGTCAGCCAGAGACGAGCGACTGGCTGGCGCCGCGCCCGATGCTTCCGGAGTCGCGAACTCGGTCTTCGATTCCCTGGGGCCCGCGGGCCCCTGGGCCAATCGCGAGGTTGCCGAAGCCCCCGGGCGGTTGCGCGTGATTGTCTCCGAAACCGGAGTTGGGCATCCATGGTGGACGCCCGCGCGTGCGCGCTAGGTGTCCGCGAGATTATTCGGTGGCGGATATTGCATGGTGCGGGGGCCTTCCAAAGACTTTCCGGGGTTTTCTTTACGGTTATTTCGGCGCGCTTCGGGAACCTTGGGGCGGCGCGGGGAAGTCGCCAGGCCGCGCGCGGGCTGTTTTCCAATGCCTTCTCGGGCATTCTCGCGGTGTTGCGTGGCCGAAGAGGTCACTGAGTACTGCGCTGTTTGACATTTACACGTGTTTTTCGTTGCGTTGGTTGCGTGATTGTTTTGGCGGTCCGCCTCTTTGGGGCCCCCTTGGGGCCTCAAGTTTGTTTTGCTGACGTCGGGTCTTCTGGAGTCAAAGGCGCTTGGCGCTGAATTCCCTCGGGCGCGCGCGTGGCCAAATACGCGCCGTGGCCCCATCTGCGCCGGGGCGCATTCCTTCCCTCGCGAAGCCGATGGCGCCCAAGGCGTGGCAGGCCCGTTCGGCGGCGCCCCCGGTGATTTGAAAAACCGAGCATGATTTTTATCCCGGTCAAATTTTGCCCCGATCCCGGCTTCGTCTTAGCTGGGGCCAAGGCAGAGGTGCTGGAGAGGCTGTTTGCAACGGAGGTGGTCCTGGGCAGCTTCGAGGTCCTTCGGCGGCTGACACCGCCCGACGCGGCTCGGCTGCCCTCCCAGCTGCTCGGCTTACATGTGGTGGGGATGCTGGCAGGTTGCCTCTCGAGGGGGCGTGCAGGGCTTCCTGGCCCTCGCAGCGCGCGACAGGGACGCGGTTGAGCCAGCGTGCGCGAGCGGGCCAAGGACTTGTGTGGTCCTTTGGTCTTGGTGCGCGGCTTCGCCAGCCAGGGGCCCGACCCGCTGGCTGCAGGGCAGTCCGTGGGGCAGGCGCTGCGAGGGCGAGAGCTCCGAGCCTGTGCGCGCGTGGCGACTGCTCTCGCTGCAGGGGGGCCGCTGCGACGCCTGAGACGAGAGCGTCGGCCGCGCCGCGGGCAACAGGCGAGCAGAGGGTTCCTCCTTCTCCTTCTTCTTCTCCTTCTTCTTCTCCTCCTCCTCTTCCTCCTTATTCTCCTCCTCGCTGCCCTTTTCCTCCTGATCCTCCTGGTCAGCGCCACCTCTC